CCGTAACCTTCAGGAAAGTGGACCAGCACAACAAACTTGTGAAAATGAAAAGTGACCTACTTTGTCTGGGGAGATTAACATGAACCTAACCAAACAGTCAAAAGCAATGACTATGGGTCTCGTAAACAGGTCACTAAAGACAAACTGGATGGTTGACATATATGGAGAACTGGACCAAACCGGAAGTGTCAGAAAGGACTGAGGAGATACCAGAAAAGGTACCAGAACATTGTAGCAGACAGGACACATGACACTGAAACAAATATTTAAAAAAATATAATAGAAAACAGATTTAAAATAAGTGTAGTAAGGCAAAGAAATTAGGTAATGAAAAACTGCACACACAAAATACAAATGAATGGAAAAAAAATGACTGAAGCTGTAAAAATCTGTCCCCAACAGAAAATTATAAGCAGCAACACTTAAACCTTTGTCTTTATATTGAAAAACCAAATGGGAATTAGTAAATGACAAAGATGTAATTTTTAAAAAAAGTGACATGCAAACAAAACTCTGGCAAACCTAGATGTAGGCCACAGTGACGCAGTCATCACTAGAAATAGACAAGGTTTGCACAAATACAAAACAAGAAACAAAAATAGCAGAGAACTGAATTTACCATTTTTTTTTTTTTTTCAAACCACCAACACTTCTATCATATATCTGCAATGTTATGTAAGTACAGTAAGCACTAACTTACGTTTGTACATTTCCAACATAGCTATATCAACAGCGAATTGAATTCAGAGAATAAATTCAAGAAACTGAGCCATAGGAGCAGAAGCACGCTAGCACTCTTGCCTTTTGGTCTGAAGGTCATGGGTTCGAAACCGTGTTAAGGTAGGATTTTAGAATTGACATGGGTTTCTGAAGCTTCTTCTTCTTTTTCTTCTCTTCCACCTTTTACCTTATCGAAGTGTCAGGGGAAGATGTAATGTTCACTGATGAGCTCTGTCAAGAGCACTATTAAGACTGATGTTTATTTCTGTAAGGCTGTTCTTAATGCCATCACTCCATATTTTCCGAGGTCTACCACTCGCTCTTTACCCGTTGTAACGTTTTAGTGTGGCTCGCTTGCTATGGCGGATAGTACCAGGGCATTCTTGTTAGGTGTCCAAACCATTTCATTTGTTGTTCTTTGATGACCTGTAAGACTGGCTTTATTCCTAGCATTCGTCTGATTTCATGATTTCGTATTCTGTCTTTCCTTGAAACTCCTGCAGCTCTTTTAAGGCATTTCATCTCTGTTGTCACAATTTTACCTTCATTAGAGGTTATAAGTATACGTTTGGCATTGATAGCATAGTGTTGGCCAAAGTAGTTCTGATAAGATTCATTTTAGTACTCCGAGGTATCTGCTTGTGTGTCAACAGGGGAGATAGTTGACCCATTACTTGATTAGCTTTGGCACATCTTTGGGTTTCTGAAGCAGCTCCCCTAAAGATAATAAAGTGGTTGAGCCAGTTTCTGGCATTCTAAAGGTCATAGGTTTCCTTTCCCACTGTGCTGTTTGATTTAGGACAGCAATTTATTTTGGTGATCCACTGAGATCGTCACTGGAGCTAGGAAGTTAGTCCTGTGTGCGACACTTCAGGCAGGTTCTCAGCATGCTCCCAGTCTGTGGCCATCACAACATAACCAGGTTCACAACACGCTCCCTGTCTGTGGCCATCACAACATAACCAGGTTCACAAGACACTCCCTGTCTGTGGCCATAACAACATAACCAGGTTCACAAGACGCTCTCCGTCTGTGGCCATCACAACACGCTTCCTGTCTGTGGTCATCACAACATAACCAGGTTCACAAGACACTCCCTGTCTGTGGCCATCACAACATAACCAGGTTCACAAGACACTCCCTGTCTGTGGCCATCACACATAACATAACCAGGACGCTCCCTGTCTGTGGCATCAACAAGACGCTCCCTGTCTGTGGCCATAACAACATAACCAGGTTCACAAGACACTCCCTGTCTGTGGCCATCACAACATAACCAGGTTCACAAGACACTCCCTGTCTGTGGCCATCACAACATAACCAGGTTCACAAGACGCTCTCCGTCTGTGGCCATCACAACACGCTTCCTGTCTGTGACTACCATTAAATCAGAAAACCACGTCCCATATTTAGGCAACCCAAATATGTGACAAGAAAGTAAGACTATTGTTTATGATCAACAGACTTTCATGTTTCAGTTCAATAACTGGACCACATGTCTTCATTAATGCAAACTTTAATCGCTCAAATCTGCTTCAACATAAGAAATATTTCAGAATGAAAAGGTATTTCAATCACTCAAGATCATAAATATTTCAGAATTGGTAAAAGGTAAGGTAGATCAACCAAACAATATCAAAAATGTCTAACAACTGAAAGATAATTCAATAACTGGACATCAGAAGTTTCTCAGAATTGAAAGGTAATTTGATAATTTACCATTAGAAATATTTCATTATAAAAAAATTGAACTATCAACACTCAACATCATAAATGTTCTGGAAGGGAAATGTAATTTATTAACATCAGAATTGTTACAGAACTGAAAGATAACAATGTAACTGCTCAACATCTGAAAGATAATTTAATTACTAAACATGAGAGAGATAATTTATTTAATGACATCAAAAATGTGTTAGAACTGAAAGAGAAATAATTCAACATCAGAAATACATCAAAACTGAACAATAATTCAATTACTGAACATCAGAAGAACAATGTCATTACTAAACATTTGTAACCATGATATACGCTTTCCCAGTCCTGAATTATAGTGCTTGTTTTTTCTCTGAAACCATCTGTCTATTGCTGTCACATGGGAGATTCAATGACACTGTAGCCTCTGTCAAAGAGATTGACACTATGTTGATGCTGGTGTTCACAAGCTAGTGTTTGCTCCCATATACGGTGTCTCTATTTCACTACTGTTGCTGGTGTTCACAAGCTAGTGTTTGCTCCCATATACGGTGTCTCTGTTTCACTACTGTTGCTGGTGTTCACTAGCTAGTGTCTGCTCCCACACATGGTATCTCTGTTTCACTGCTGTTGCTGGTGTTCAGAAGCTAGTGTCTGCTCCCACACATGGTGTCTCTGTTTCATTGCTGTTGCTGGTGTTCACTAGCTAGTGTCTGCTCCCACACATGGTATCTCTGTTTCACTGTTGTTGCTGGTGTTCACTAGCTAGTGTCTGCTCCCACACATGGTATCTCTGTTTCATTGCTGTTGCTGGTGTTCACTAGCTAGTGTCTGCTCCCACACATGGTGTCTCTGTTTCACTGCTGTTGCTGGTGTTCACTAGCTAGTGTCTGCTCCCACACATGGTATCTCTGTTTCATTGCTGTTGCTGGTGTTCACAAGCTAGTGTCTGCTCCCACACATGGTATCTCTGTTTCACTGCTGTTGCTGGTGTTCACAAGCTAGTGTCTGCTCCCACACATGGTGTCTCTGTTTCACTGCTGTTGCTGGTGTTCACAAGCTAGTGTCTGCTCCCACATTTCACTGCTGTTGCTGGTGTTCACAAGCTAGTGTCTGCTCCCACACATGGTGTCTCTGTTTCACTGCTGTTGCTGGTGTTCACAAGCTAGTGTCTGCTCCCACATTTCACTGCTGTTGCTGGTGTTCACAAGCTAGTGTCTGCTCCCACACATGGTGTCTCTGTTTCACTACTGTTGCTGGTGATCACAAGCTAATGTTTGCTCTTGTCATTTCTTTTGCTGATGCCTAGACAGCTCAGTTCCCGTTGGTCTTGGCAAAAACCTCATCAGCATCATCATGTGCCATGCAGGCAACAGTGGGCAGACATGGTTTGCCATCTCCAGCCAGTATCTTCAATCTGAGGTCCATGTTCCTTTCTCCAATCATGCTCAGTTGCCAAACCATTCAGGTATTTTGGTCCTTCCACTGCTTCCCTTTGCAACAAGTCTGCCAGTTGTCACCACATTTTCAAGGTTGTTTTCTTTGTAACATCAGTGATCCAGTTAGATTTGATGTCCCTGGTTTCTTGAAGGACTGCCTCTTTATCTGTGTGTCCAGGAGTTTTCCTTTGTAGAGATATCTTTACCAGACAAGTATGCGTTAGGTTCCTAGGATCAACACTGTTTCTTTTTCTTCCTTGTTCACATTCAGATCTCTGTCAGTGACTCGTGTTGTTAGTGATGACACTTAACATCCATGTGATTTCAGCAATGACTCGTTGACCCAGCTTCTGCTCACCAACTCTGCCGTCAGAATGTCAAATACCACTGATCTCAGCAATGACGTAATGGCCGGGTCATGGTGTCCCATACCACTGATCTCAGCAATGACTCACTCATCCAGTCCTAGTGTCCCATACCACTGATCTCAGCAATGACTCACTCATCCAGTCCTAGTGTCCCATACCACTGATCTCAGCAATGACTCACTCATCCAGTCATGGTGTCCCATACCACTGATCTCAGCAATGACGTAATGGCCAGGTCATGGTGTCCCATACCACTGATCTCAGCAATGACTCACTCATCCAGTCCTGGTGTCCCATACCACTGATCTCAGTAATGACTCACTCATCCAGTCATGGTGTCCCATACCACTGATCTCAGCAATGACTCACTCATCCAGTCATGGTGTCCCATACCACTGATCTCAGCAATGACTCACTCATCCAGTCATGGTGTCCCATACCACTGATCTCAGCTATGACTCACTCATCCGTTTATGGTGTCCTATACCACTGATCTCAGCAATGACTCACTCCTCCAGTCATGTGGTCAAATACCACTGAGCTTCTACCTGCCAGCCCAGTCATGGTGTCCCATACCAATGGCTCCAGTAGAAGCAGGTAGTTCCAAGTTGTGGCAACCCTGTTCAGTAGAGTGGAAGGAAGTTAAGTGACTGATGCCCTGATAGTTTACATTCACTACTGGAGATAGGACAGTTCAGCAGCAGGCTCCAGGCTGTCATGGTACCACAGTCCCAGAGCAAAGTCAAGCCACCTCCGCTCACACTGAGGTTTCCATGGCTTACACCAGATCAAGCTCCTCATTGTGAACCACATCAAAACTGAAATATCTTGGCTGCATGTTCAACATCAGAGGAATGTCTTCCCCGCCACAGACACTCCTGTCCATGGATTGCCGTCTGTCCACTTCTGTCAACACGAGATGAGCTTCCCTTCCTGCAACACTGGTTTCTAATAAACACAAATGGCTGAGATCACCAAGACAGTTTGTCAGCAGTGTTGAGAGACAGTTATGTACTCGGTTCAGGCAACCAAGATCCAGAGTAGCTAGTAGTCTTGTAGAGAAGGGAAAGAAAAGAATGGATTTGATTTCGTCACATTTATATTTCCATTACCTAAACTGACAGCATTAATGTGTTCATTAACAAAAGAGACAGTAGAAATAAGAAAATAAAGAAAATGGTTTTATTACATATGAGCAAATTACTGACTACGGTATCCCAAGGAGACTAGACACTTTATATGCTCACACACATCATTTTTATAACCATACACACTATGATAGCTCCCTGAATATCCCATCCCAGCGAGACTTTATGTTCTCACACAAAACCATACAATCAAAGTCCCAGAGAGACTAGACACTTTATATTCTCACACAACACTAATCAATTGTGTCAGCTCCCATAAAACCCAGGGAGACTAGGCACTTGATGTTCACACAACACCACACTATCATGTCAGCTCCCTTAGGATATGAGACAGACTAGACAGTTATATTCTCACACACAACACCGTACGACGATGTCAGCCCCCTTAACATCTGAGACTAGACTCTATATGTTGTCACACACCACCCAAACAAAATCCCAGGGAGACTAAACACTATATGTTCTCACACAACACCATACGATCATATCAGCTCCCTTGAAACCCCAGGGAGACTAGACACTTTTTGTTCTTCCACACCAACCATACAATCATGTCAGCTCCCTTAAAACCCCGGGGAGACTAGACACTTTTTGTTCTTCCACACCAACCATACAATCATGTCAGCTCCCTTAAAACCCCGGGGAGACTAGACACTTTTTGTTCTTCCACACCAACCATACAATCATGTCAGCTCCCTTAAAACCCCGGGGAGACTAGACACTTTTTGTTCTTCCACACTAACCATACAATCATGTCAGCTCCTTTAAAACCCCGGGGAGACTAGACACTGTTTGTTCTTCCACACCAACCATACAACCATGTCAGTTCCCTGACTATCTCAGCAACACTAGGATACACCAAAGACCCTGTCGTGGGTGCTAGCAATACTGAAACAATCCACTGCTACACAAACACATAAACCCATATTGTAATTCAGGGGAAGGACAAAAAGGCCCACAACCAGCTACTGGCAACAATTTTGAAGAAAGAAAAACCAGCATAATAATAGATATAGTTAACCGAAGTGAGCAGTCATAGCCATTGGGGTTTGAAGCACTTCACATATTCTAGATCAACTCTATAGGAGGTAGGGTGGCCAAATCTTTTCCTCATTATTAATGTCTCCCAGACAATACCCTGGTAATGCTAAAAATGGTATCCCTTTCAGTGAGGTGGCATCAACAACAGAGTTACACTTGTTCAGTATTCCAAGCCCCTTTGCTGCAGCTACCATCTGTCTCCATTTATCCTTTTTACCAGGCTTCTCTTTCTAGTTGGTGTCTCCAAGTGTTTGTAAGTCTGTCTGGATATTATCTCTCCACCATTTTCTCTGTCCGCCTTGTGGTCTCCTTCCACTCAACAATTACCTGTATGCAGTTTTCATCTCCCAGTTATCTGCCGTTTCTCTATATACCCCAACATTTGCAGTCTTTCAGCCCTCAAATTAACAGTAATTAGTAACTGGAAGAATTATTTTATTTTCTAAATATTTTAGAAATGATAATAATCTAATCATGAATTGATTTTTTTAGACAATAAGACCTTCAGGAGGATTGTATCTTAAAAACAAACAAATAAGGTAAATATATCCCCAGATTTTGTGAAGAAACAAGTTGATCTACATACCCAATTAGGGCCTCAGGCCAGTTGAACAGAAATCACAGATTATATAAATCATATGCATTATAAAAAGTAGTAAAACGGAGATAATGAAAATTTTTTAAAGTAACAAATATATGAAAATACGCCGCACGTGTGATGTTTGGGCTACAACAACCTTTATAAAGAATAGCGCAGGCAGCAATAACACAATTAGAAATTTTACAGCACAGTAACTAAACACCTAACAACCAGATAAATGTACAGAAACAAAAGGTATACACTTTATATAACACACCTTGACTATTTTAAATCAATTTGATAATGTAACAATAACCCTTGCAGATGAAAGTTACATCTGCAATAAATAAGACCGGAGATCAACCTCTTCCTTAGATCAGGAAAATGATCAGGCTGACCTGGGAGGCACTTCCTGCAGATTTTTCTTTTTCTGGGCTGCTATAATAAGTTGGTTTTTTTTTGTGGGGTGGGGGGAGGGGGGGGGATAAATAATGTGGCATTTTCTCCTTGAGGTCCACAGCCACATGAGTGATTGATACAACATCTGCAGCCTTTAGGAAAATGTTAGGGTAACAGAAGACATGGTTTTATACTAGGTCTTAATCCTCCAGGAAAATGGTCACTTGTCAGGGTAAGGGAAGACATGGTTTTATACTAGGTCTTAATCCTCCAGGAAAATGGTCAGTTGTTAGGGTAACGGAATACATGGTTTTATACTAGGTCTTAATCCTCCAGGAAAATGGTCACTTGTCAGGGTAAGGGAAGACATGGTTTTATACTAGGTCTTAATCCTCCAGGAAAATGGTCACTTGTCAGGGTAAGGGAAGACATGGTTTTATACTAGGTCTTAATCCTCCAGGAAAATGGTCAGTTGTTAGGGTAACGGAATACATGGTTTTATACTAGGTCTTAATCCTCCAGGAAAATGGTCACTTGTCAGGGTAACAGAAGACATGGTTTTATACTAGGTCTTAATCCTCCAGGAAAATGGTCAGTAGTCAGGGTAATAGAAGAAATGGTTTTATACTAAGTCCTAATCCTCCAGGAGAATGGTCAGTTGTCAGGGTAACAGAAGACATGGTTTTATACTAGGTCCTAATCCTCCAGGAAAATGGTCAGTAGTCAGGGTAATAGAAGACATGGTTTTATACTAGGTCTTAATCCTCCAGGAAAATGGTCAGTTGTCAGGGCAACAGAAGACATGGTTTTATACTAGGTCTTAATCTTCCAGGAAAATGGTCACTTGTCAGGGTAACGGAAGACGTGGTTTCTACACTGATCAGCACAAGGCTGACATCCTGAGACACTCAGGGCGTGAAATGACAAGAAGAAAGAAAACTGACAAGAGACCAAAAGACATTCCAGCAGAATGTGACATAAGCAAAGTTGTGCAATGAATGTGGTAGATTATGATAAAGAATAAAGCTGGACATGCTGCAATCATAAAATGACAGCCACAGTAAAAGAGTATGAAAAGTATAACACAACACTGACTCTGAGTCAGCAACACCAATGCTACTACATGATGACTATGAGTAAAAGTATTCCCTACCCAAGGAGAGGTTTTCACTATCCCTCATCCCATATTATGACTCTGCACTATATTCCCTATCCAAGAAGCATCTCATAATATGACTCTATGAGTAAAAGTATTCCCTATACAAGGAGATGTTTTTACTGTCCAACATCTCATGATATGACTCTATGAGTAAAACTATCCCCTATACAAGGAGAGGTTTACTCTGTCCAACATCTCATATGACTCTATGAGTAAAACTATTCCATATACAAGGAGATGTTTTTACTGTCCAACATCTCATGATATGACTCTATGAGTAAAACTATCCCCTATACAAGGAGAGGTTTTCTCTGTCCAACATCTCATATGACTCTATGAGTAAAACTATTCCATATACAAGGAGAGGTTTTTACTGTCCAACATCTCATGATATGACTCTATGAGTAAAACTATCCCCTATACAAGGAGAGGTTTTCTCTGTCCAACATCTCATATGACTCTATGAGTAAAACTATTCCATATACAAGGAGATGTTTTTACTGTCCAACATCTCATGATATGACTCTATGAGTAAAACTATCCCCTATACAAGGAGAGGTTTTCTCTGTCCAACATCTCATATGACTCTATGAGTAAAACTATTCCATATACAAGGAGAGGTTTTTACTGTCCAACATCTCATGATATGACTCTATGAGTAAAAGTATTCCCTATACAAGGAAAGGTTTTATCTGTCCCACATGATACTTACCTGAAAAGTCAGGTGACCCACATAGCACCTGGTTGACGCAGCCTAAAATGGGCTCCAGGAAATACCCTAGGAAGTCAATGTGGTTGGACTATTGACTCTGTCACCCAGTGAGTGCCAGTTCACCAACAAACATTTGGCTCTAGCATCATATGCAGCAATGGCACCTGAAATATCCTTTATTTACCAAGACTGGAGATGGAACACAGGACCACACCACTGACAAGTGAGTTAACTGATGACTCAACACACACATTTCTAGAAAGTACACAGAAGGTCACTTACTTCTTTCCCCAGCGAAGATGAATGATGAGGAAGACCACACCCAGCACAATGCACAGGGAGCCGACAACAATGTAGGCAATGCCCAGGAAAGGGTTCTTGCCCCCTAGCCAGGAGGTGGTGGAGATGATAATGCTCTTGGTGCCATCAAAAGCCACCACTGGATAATCTGAAGAACAAAACAACAGATGTTTCACTGTCACATGTTGATGTCAACATGCAGGCACTGATGCCAAGATAAATTACTTCTCACTATCCTTTCCCGTTGCCTGTTAAGCCCTTCCGCGTCTGGTTAGATAGCATTTTCTGGACAAAGCCTTCCCCTCGGCTGTGTACAATGGAGTGCTTTTTTTTCCACAAACCATCAATTATAAATATCTGCTTTTATCAGAAGTTGCCACTGACCTGGACAGACTTATCACATGCAATAATCTGTATGTGACCAGCTCAATCCCTCATGTCTATCAACTTTCTGATCAACAGTATAGTCAGGTATCTATTTTTACAATGGAGAAACATATTGGAGGGGGGGGGGGACATTTTCTTATTACCCCTTTCCTAATGCGTCAGTTGTCAAAAAGTCACACCTGGAGGTGCTACATTCCATCAGGGCATTGCCTGCAGGGACATTTTCCTGCATGAGTCTTTGACTCACAACTGTGGACATCCTGTATTGTAAAAACTGTTTGCCAGCTGTTATGTACATGCACAGTAACTGACCAGTGTGTGCGTGTGTGTGCGTGCGTCCGTATGTGCATGCTATGCGTCCAGTGTGTGTATGTGTGTGTGCATACTATGCGACCAGTGTGCGTGCGTATGTGCATGCTATGTGACCAGTGTGTGTGCGTGCGTATGTGCATACTATGCGACCAGTGTGTGTATGTGTGTGTGCATACTATGCGACCAGTGTGTGTATGTGCGTGTGGGCATGCTGTGTGACCAGTGTGCACCAGTTGTGCAACTACCTTGACACTGCAGACATACATATGTAAAAAGGATGTACAGAGGTGTCAATGACACACAAAAAGACAACAAGAAACTGAAAGAAAAATATTCAATGAAGAGATTTCCATGCAACAAGTATTTGTCTATGGGGTGACCCATTGGCTATAAAGCTGAAACTAACATAACCAGAACCAGATATTTACCATTAAAGATTCTGAAATGAATTCTTGTATCTGACACAAAACAGATTTCAAACGGACACTTGCCACTTAGTCATGAAGGAAGACAATCTTCTATAACCACAGAAATGTAGTTTTCCAGAAGAAAATGATAAATATACAGGAAAGATGTTTGGACAATAGGTATAACTGCAGGTCAGAGAAGGAAAGATGTTTGGACAATAGGTATCATTGTAGGTCAGAGAAGGGAAGATGTCTGGACAGTAGGTATCATTGCAGGTCAGAGAAGAGAAGATGTTTAAACAGATGGCATCATGGCAGGACAGGAAAGATGTCTGGACAGCTGACATCATTGCAGGTCAGAAAAGGAAAGATGTCTGGACAGCTGACATCATTGCAGGTCAGAAAAGGAAAGATGTCTGGACAGCTGACATCATTGCAGGTCAGAAAAGGAAAGATGTCTGGACAGCTGACATCACTGCAGGTCAGAAAAGGAAAGATGTCTGGACAGCTGACATCATTGCAGGTCAGAGAAGGAAAGATGTCTGGACAGCTGGCATCCCTGCAGGTCAGAGAAGGAAAGATGTCTGGACAGCTGGCATCCCTGCAGGTCAGAGAAGGAAAGATGTCTGGACAGCTTCATGGTAGGACAGATTTCACCATCCTTTATTTCAGCCGACGATACAACTTGATGATGATGAAAACAATGTTACAGAAAAAATAGCAGTTCAGACATACTGTATTCAATCTCAATGGTGTAGTTGCCAGCTGGTAGGCCTTCATTGAAGGGAGTGACTGTGTGGTTGACCTTTCGATACAACTTGCGAAAGGTGGGCAGGGCAGCAGTTCGCATCCACACAATAAGATCTTCGTTCAAGTAGCCATTATTGTTTGGGTTGACTTCGTCTAGTTTCCACACGGGTTTCTTCCAGTTGGGGGGCTTAGTGAAGTGGTCCCACGCTGGGAAAATAAAGAGATTCAGTGATAACAGAAGAAACACAGCTCATACAATAAACATGAATCACTGACAAACATAGGATGTGACAAACATGTGACACATATAGCGGCATAAACAAACTAGGACATAAATAAATGAAATAAACATGTGAAATACATGATATAAACACACTAGGACATAAATCTGTGAAATAAACACTGCGACATAAACTGCTGAAATTAACATAATGTGACATAAATACTTAAATAAACAAGATATGACAGAAATCACTGAAAAAAACCACATTGTGGCATAAATCGTTGAAAACAAACACATGTGACATAAATTATAGAAATAAACATGATGTGATATAAATTACAGAAATAAACACGAGGAGACAGTCAAGAAAAGTACAAGAAACAATCCTAAACTATTCACCAGCAATGCATGGACTGAATGTCAGAGGTGTCCAGAAGCACAAACAAGCCCGCAAACATCTACACCTGACCGACTCATCTTTGTCTCTGTCTGCTCTTCCAGTGACTTGACTCTCGATCCCCTATGCAGTGACATGCGATAGACTGTATCACCAAGTATATGGTTTCAACTCAACCTTCTCTGTCTGTCTGTGTCTGCCTCTCTCTCTCTCTCTAGCTGATGAGTAGTCGAGTTTGTTATCAAGCATCTAATCATAACGCCTTCCCAATATTATGCTACATTCTTCATTACTGCACATGCCAGTCCTGACAAACACATACAGATGTGTTTAGTCTTCTCTTTACTGACTTCGGCAGTAAAAGGAGACAAATGTGAAGACTTAGAAATCAAAGAATGCTGATCCCAACTGTCATCATTATCATGTGCCAGACCAACAAATATTTCTGATCACTTGCCATCTTATCTCATCCCTCGGACAAACTCCTACTGGCAGTCTAGTCTACCCCATGCCTCACACACTGCCCCAGCCCAGCACACAGAGAAGTCACTTACTCTCGGGATTCCTGAATTTCACATTCTTGTCTGACACCCAGGCAATGCCTGTATTGATAAGTCCAACTGGGACACTGCCTTCATATTTGATGACAAATGAGTCTGCAAAAAAAAGTCAAAACAAACAAGTTTATAAAGGGTCGCTGACATTTTACACCATGGTGTCCATTTGATCAATGGTCCATGGTGCAGTAAAGGCTTAATACCATGGTCCCATATGATCAATGGTCCAAGGTACAGTAAAGGGTTTCTTCCATGGTGCCCAAATGATCAATGGTTCGTGGTGCAGTAAAGGGTTTCTGCCATAGTGTCCATATGATCAATGGTCCATGGTGCAGTAAAGGCTTAATACCATAGTCCCATATGATCAGTGGTTCGTGGTGCAGTAAAGGCTTAATACCATAGTCCCATATGATCAATGGTGCAGTAAAGGCTTAATACCATAGTCCCATATGATCAGTGGTTCGTGGTGCAGTAAAGGCTTAATACCATTGTCCCATATGATCAGTGGTCCGTGGTGCAGTAAAGGCTTAATACCATTGTCCCATATGATCAGTGGTCCGTGGTGCAGTAAAGGCTTAATACCATGGTCCCATATGATCAATGGTCCGTGGTGCAGTAAAGGCTTAATACCATTGTCCCATATGATCAGTGGTCCGTGGTGCAGTAAAGGCTTAATACCATAGTCCCATATGATCAGTGGTCCGTGGTGCAGTAAAGGCTTAATACCATGGTCCCATATGATCAATGGTCCGTGGTGCAGTAAAGGCTTAATACCATTGTCCCATATGATCAGTGGTCCGTGGTGCAGTAAAGGCTTAATACCATAGTCCCATATGATCAGTGGTCCGTGGTGCAGTAAAGGCTTAATACCATGGTCCCATATGATCAATGGTCCGTGGTGCAGTAAAGGGTTTCTTTCATGGTGCCCAAATGATCAATGGTCCGTGGTGCAGTAAATGGTTTCTGCCATAGTGCCCAAATGATCAATAGTCTGTGGTGCAGTAAAGGGTTTCTTCCATGGTGCCCAAATGATCAATGGTCCGTGGTGCAGTAAAGGGTTTCTGCAATGGTGCCCATATAATCAATAGTCTGTGGTGCAGTAAAGGTTTTCTGCAATGGTGCCCATATGATCAATAGTCTGTGGTGCAGTAAAGGCTTTCTGCAATGGTGCCCATATGATCAATAGTCTGTGGTGCAGTAAAGGCTTTCTGCAATGGTGCCCATATGATCAATAGTTCGTGGTGCAGTAAAGGCTTTCTGCCATGGTGCACATTTGATCAATAGTTCGTGGTGCAGTAAAGGCTTTTTGCCATGGTGCACATACGATCGATGGTCCGTGGTGCAGTAAAGGGCTTCTGCAATGGTGCCCATATGATCAATAGTTCGTGGTGCAGTAAAGGATTTCTGCCATGGTGCACATATGATCAATGGTCCGTGGTGCAGTAAAGGCTTTCTGCCATGGTGCACATACGATCAATGGTCCGTGGTGCAGTAAAGGCTTTCTGCATTAGTGCTCAAATGATCAATGGTCCGTGGTGCAGTAAAGGCTTTCTGCATTGGTGCTCAAATGATCAATGGTACACAGTACAAATCAGCTTGTGTACACCTGGAAGTGTGCATGGGTTTATGGTACCAGGCACATATACATACAGATCAACTGGCACTCCATGGCTGATGTGGTCAATACCTTGACAGCCATATTTACTTCCCACAACATTTCCCAGTACACGTTATAGGCTGGCTTGATCTGGGAGCCACATTCAACTTTATGTTTGAATTCCTGCTTACAGCAGGGTTCTGACATGTGGCCACAAGTTCAGCAGTCAGATCAGCTATTCACTGGGCCACCATGACTTTCAATATACTGAGTGAAATGCACACATCTTACACACAAGTAAAATACTCACATCCCACACATATGCAAAACCTCACCTACAACACATATGAAAATCCACACATCCCACATAAAAGTGAACTCATTCCATTCAACACACATGTAAAATCCTCACATCCCACATCTAAGTCAAATCCTCACATCCCAGACACTAGTGAAATCCTCACATCCCACACACAAGCAAAATTCTCAAATCCCACAATCAAGTAAAATTCCTCACATCCTACACACAAGTAAAATCCTCACATCCGACACATAGATAAAAATCCTCAAATTTCACACACTAGTGAAATCCACACATCCCACACACTAATCAAATCGCCACATTGCATAAGTTAGTTGTGCATCCTTTACAAGACGTTGCAGAACCAACCCTAGCAGTTTTTCGCTGTTGTGGTTCTTCTAGACAAATTTATGTCCAGTAGTTTGCCATTGCTTTCTGGGTGCTCAGCTATCAATACCACTGTTGAAACCAACACAGGGCGCAAGGCCCGCAGCTGGGATGGAACCCGGCACCCTGGCATTATGAAGCGCATTCGCAACGCCTAAGCCATAGATCCCGACAGTGCATACATACACAAGTGAAAGCCTCACATCCCACACCTAAGTGAAAGCCTCACATCCCACACCTAAGTGAAAGCCTCACATCCCACACCAAAGTGAAAGCCTCACATCACACACCTAAGTGAAAGACTCACATCCCAAACCTAAGTGAAAGACTCACATCCCACACCTAAGTGAAAGCCTGACATCAAACACCTAAGTGAAAGCCTCACATCCCACACCCAAGTGAAAGCCTCACATCCCACACCTAAGTGAAAGCCTCACACCAAACACCCAAGTTACGAAACAGAAGAGACATCACTACAACAGGCGCCCCAGCTTACCGTTAAACAGACTGTTGGCAATGGCACCACAAGGGGCATAACCGTACCCTGTTTTGTTGATTTCCGTAGTTCTGTAGGGGTCGCAGTCATCAATGAGGCTTCCGGGAGACATAGTGTCTCCATGCAGCTGATTGTCGTCCCGAGAGCGCACATAGCGCCGATGGTTTTGGTAGTAGTTAGTGAGACCATAATATATATACACTGATTCCTGGGAAAGATAAACCGTTGAGTATTGTTAAATACATACAACACAATCAATACTGGTTTATGTAACAGCACATACAACACAATCAATGCTGGTTTATGTAACAGCACATTCAACACAATCAATTCTGGTTTATGTAAATGTACATAGAACATAATGGATTATGATTTATGTAACTGTACACACAACACAATCAATTATGGTTTATGTTGCTACAAATAAAACACATTCAATTCCACTTTATGTAACTGTACATATAACACAATCATTTCTAGTTATGTAATTGTACATAGAACAATGAATGTTGGTTTATGTAACTGTACATATAACATAATAAATTATTATGTTTTTGCAACATTCAAAGTACGTACATACAATAGCCAATGCTGGTTTATGCTATACTGAACACACAATTAATGTAGGTTTATGTCAGTTTACATTCAACAAATCGTACAAAAAACAGTCAGTACTGGTTTAAATAACTGTCTCCACCAGTGATTCCAAAACTGTGTGCCGCAGTGCTCTACGGAGCCGCGACCTCCTCACAGGTTGGCCACAAAATTTTTTTAAGATACACAAGTTTTATCTTTTTTTAAAAATCTCTTACATACACAGAATCATACTTTTACTTAGGTTAGGGCGACGCCAAACATTTTTTATTGAAAAAAAAAATGTGCCGCAACTAAGAAAAGTTTGGGAAACACTGGTCTACACAACACAATCTATTATTCTGGTCTATGTAACTACATACAACAATCATACATACAACAGTAAATGCTGGTTTATGTAGCTACATTCGGTGCTGGTTTTGCAAAAAAAACAGCCGGAACACTGGGTGAAACTTTACTCAGAACTCTACAAACATCTGTGTCAGCCTTGATGCTTTCCATTCAAATAAGTATCTGCCCCCCCCCCCCCCCTCTCACGGAAATCAATAAAGAAAGCACTGGACGAGCTTCCTTTGGGCAAGGCCCCAGGAAATGATGGTATCCCACCACAGACTCTGAAATGCTCAAAGCAATCTATCCAACATTTCAACAATCTATTATAAAAATAAGGGAGACAGAAGTGACTCTCACTTTTGTGCTATTTCTCTGTTAAATGACACTGGTAAAGTCTTTCCTTTGTCTATAAGTATATATAAACGTGACAGGAAAGACACAAACATTGACATAAACACTAGATTATGTTGGATTATGTGACTGTACATACAACATTGCCTGTTGGGATTATGTGACTGTACATACAACATTGTCTGTTGGATTATGTGACTGTACATACAACATTGCCTGTTGGATTATGTGACTGCACATACAACATTGCCTGTTGGATTATGTGACTGTACATACAACATTGCCTGTTGGATTATTAACTGTACATACAACACTGCCTGTTGGATTATGTAACTGTACATACAACATTGCCTGTTGGATTATGTAACTGTACATACAACATTGCCTGTTGGATTATGTAACTGTACAT